GCGTTCAGAACTACTCTCAAATCAGAGTGCAAGCACCAAACTTAGGTCAAGGATAATCCTAATGATATGGCACGCGTAACTTCCCACAACCCATTCTTCTTTAACTTCAACTCGTGTTGGGACTGCCTGCTTGAAGTTTAGCACATGCTTTGGCTGTTGGGGATTTGAAGAACTGAGCCTGCTGCGTAGGAGTTTTCATACATCACATTCAATCTCTAGCCCACAATAACAGAACACGGGATCTTCCCAGAGCCCTGCCTGTCTGCCAGTGGAGGGAATCAGTTTCCCCTGCAGGGAAAGTGAATATCACTGGTGCAAAATGTGAGTTAACTTCTTCTCCCTCTTCATTAAACATGGCCAAGCAAGTATATCCATGATATATACAAATTTAAGCCAGGAAGGAATTAAAACTCCTGTTCTTGCCAAATGATTGAGTGCTTGCAGACACAGATTCCTAAAAAAGTATAATAAAGTACATTCGCAGAGTATTTGTGCCTTCATAGGAAATGAATATGGATGTAATTAAGAAAAGCTGATTTATGTGGAACTGTAAAACCAGGGACATAAAATGAAAAATTCTCTGTAAATGTCAAGTGAGTGTTTTGTGGTGGCCAAAACAAGGCACGTAGAGTATTGCAATGGTATTAAGAAAGAACTGAAAATTAAAATACCACTATATAAATCCCTAGTACATGAATATTTAAGACACTGTATGGAATTCTAGGCGCCTGATCTCTAAAGATTATAGTAGAACTGTTTTTCTATTATACTCTGCTGCTGACATTTTGAGAATAGTCATGTGTGGTGTGGCTTCTTGTCTGAGGAAATTAAAAGACAAGACTGAGTAGGATTGGGGGATGAGCAGGGTCTATAAAACAATAGGAAAAGGCAAATGGGAAACAAGAAACAGGGAACATAGAATACTAGAATCATAGTTTGTGCTGGAAGGGACCTTAAAGATGTGATTCCAACCCCCGTGCCATGGACAGGGACACCTTCCACTAGATCAGGTTACTCAAAGCTCCATCCAGCCTGGCCTTGAACACTTCCAGGGAACTTCTACTTGTTGAAGGGGCATCCTACTGTCTAATCTAAATCTCCCCTCTTCCAGTTTAAAACCGTTACCCCTTGTCCTATCACTACACTCCCTGATAATGAGTCCCTCCCCATCTTTCCTGTAGTCCCTTTAGGTACTGGAAGGGGCTATGAGATCTCCCTGGAGCCTTCTTTTCTTCAAGCTGAACACCCTCAACTCTCTCAGCCTGTCCTCATAGCAGAGGTGCTCCAGCCCTTTGATCATCTTCGTGGTTCTCCTCTGGACCTGCTTGAGCAGGTCTTTCTTTCCAAGGAGTCCCAGAGCTGGAGGCAGCACTGCAGATGGGGTCTCACCACAGCAGAGCAGAGGGGCAGAATCCCCTCCCTTGTCCTGTTGGCTACACTGTTTTCGATGCAGCCCAGGACAGGGTTGGCTTTCTGGGCTGCGAGAGCACATTGCCCACTCATATTCAGTTTTTCATCCACCAATAGCCCCAGGTCTTTCTCCTCAGGGCTGTTCACAATCTAAGTTTTAAATAAACAAAGTACTTCACAAAATTGTTGGAATCATTGCTGTAGAAGCCAAAACTTTAAATGGTTTCAAAAAGCAATCAAATCCCTAGAAGACACAAGGAACCATTAAAAGGTCCAGAGCTTCTCGATGTCGGGTTCCAAGAGACCCTGTGTTGCTGCCTGTTGGTGTATTTGGGCAAAGATCACATAAACCGTGTTTCTTACTGGCTTTCATTCTGCATCCATTGTTGAGCACTGTAAGAGATAGTATGGCTGTTCCTGCCTAACTTCCTTCTTATAAGTTATTCTTCCCCTACAATATATATTCTTTTAAATTTGGGGGGTTTTCTGTTAAGAATTTACATAGATGGTCTTCAAGTACAAAGAGGCTCCATTAAAAGAAGCCAAAACCAAATTCAAATAACTGAAAGAGTTCCCGGTAAGAGTTTAAGTAGCACTATGTCATGGGATGCTAACTTTGTTAGAGAAGAGCCTCTATTAGTGCTCTGAACACTGGTTACAGTATTTACGTTCCTGCCTAACTTCCTTCTTATAAGTTTTTCTTCCCCTATAATATATATCTTCTTCTAAATTTTGGGGGGGTTTCTGTTAAGAATTTACATAGGTGGTCTTCAAGTACAAAGAGGCTCCATTAAATGTTCCTGCCTAACTTCCTTCTTATAAGTTATTCTTCCCCTACAATATATATTCTTTTAAATTTGGGGGGTTTTCTGTTAAGAATTTACATAGATGGTCTTCAAGTACAAAGAGGCTCCATTAAAAGAAGCCAAAACCAAATTCAAATAACTGAAAGAGTTCCCGGTAAGAGTTTAAGTAGCACTATGTCATGGGATGCTAACTTTGTTAGAGAAGAGCCTCTATTAGTGCTCTGAACACTGGTTACAGTATTTATTTGTCATGAACTCTCACAGCAGTGCATGCAAGAGAAAAGGTCAGGGATAGAATGCAGTCTTCGAGCTGGTTTTTGCGATGTTTTCCTATGCACACAACGCCGTTCAAGTACTGGGGAGGGTCTACAGTGCCAGATCTAAGCCCCCAAAGACAGGGAAAACTTTAAAACTAGATGGTTTTAGTCACCTCAGGGGAGAAACTAACTGGAAAGAAAGTACTACAGGCTGAGATGTGGGAAAGGATGGAGCGGTGATTTAGGCTGGTTCTGGGCAAAGATTCTGGTGTGGTATTTTTTCCTAACTCACCGTTACCAGCACACTATCTCATGATTCTCCCTGTTATAAGTGCACTGAGGGTCAAATGCACAAACAACAACTACCACTTCTTAAGTTCGGGTTTTAAAATTTAAGACAACTTTTGAAAGTGCATTCAAGAGTCACCATGTCCAGTTTATTTTTAAAGAAAAATACAGTTCTTTGCTGGGAAAAAAACCCCAGATGGTTTTCATGGTATATATTGTGAAAACAACTACCATTCCTTAAGTTCAGGTTTTAAAACTTACTCTAAGACAACTTCTGAAAGCACATTCAAGAGTCACCAAGTCCAGTTTTTTTTTTTACAGAAAAATACAGTTTTTTGCTAGGAAAAAACCCCCAGATGGTTTTCATGGTATATATTGTGAAATACGTGTGTGTGTATGCGTGTATATATATCGTTAACTTTAGGGAAAGCCTGCATGTTATTAATTCTGCTTTTTTTCCACTGGATCCATGTATTAATTCCTTTCAGTGGTGCTCCCTACAAGCAGCCTGGTCCAGGCTGTTGAAATCAGTTTCTCTTGTCACCTTTTCTTGTCAAAGGCCAAGTTTTTGAGGTTTCAAAAGCTACTGTAGCGCATCTATTTGTGTCATGAAGCACTTGTTGTTGTTTCCTTATAGCACTTCTTTCTTGATAACTTAAATACCATTACCTTTAAGCATAATAGGAAATATTACCTATTTATCTAAAAACTGAATATAGCCCAGTCACATTTCCAACTTTCACATATTGGAGCACACAAAATATGCCATGTATTATGATCTTAAATTTATGTAAAAGCACCTCCCTCTCAACGCATAAATAGATAAATGAAGGAAATTTACCAGGTAATTTTCATACTTAAAAAGTAGGTGTACACATTCTAAAAGCTAAACCCTAATTCACAGCAATTAGATCATGAATAACTAGTATCAGGGACTGTAGCTATATATTGTTACATAAAAGTCTGAGAAAAATATGATCTTCTTGGGGCTGAATTTGTATTCTAGCAAATGGTTTTCAGTAGTATGTAAGTTTAAATAAACATGTAAAACCTCATGTTTTGGTCATTAAAAACTTTGTACCTGTTTTCAACTGAAAATGTTGATTTTAGCCATGAAACCTCCCAATGGAACGTAAATAGATGAAACCTATTCACTGGAGATTTCAGTGGCCCTTTAGACCCAGAAATTTATTTCTGTATATATTATTGGATCTGATTACCCTGCACCAAATAAAATTTATATATAATTTACTGGCAAAGTACAGGCAAATATCACAAAACGTACAGTTAAGTCACTGTAATCTGGTTACATGTAGATTCAAAACCTACAGCTACATTTTTTATTCTTTTAAAGCAAATTAAGTAGGAAACATTTGTCTGAATAGTCAGAAAAGAAGAAAAATATCAGAATCTGTACAAATTCACTAAAGAATGAAGGGATGTCTCTAAAGCAGTCCACTAGAAAATAAGCTTTTGTTTTAAAGGTCTATTTATTTTTTTTTTGGTCACTGTGATAAATTAATATTTTTACATAGTTATCTACAGAATTCTTAATTTTTTTCTAACATTAACAACTGTATCTAGTGTACTAAAGGAATGCGGACAAACAGAAGCCAAATAGGTGCAATTGTTAAGACATTTGTTTCTTCTCTCCTACCATTAATTTTCTAATACAGACATCCACAGAACTACCCTGCCTCCCTCCAAAAAAAAAAAAAAAAGAAGAAATATTTTTCATATAGACATGTATATCTCTCCATTATCAGAATAATTTAATCGTTCTGATTACTTCTTCCCTTCTGCCCTCATGTGCATTTTTGACTGCAAAGGCTTCGTAATTTCTGAGTTCTGGCTATATCAATATATACATATATATATATATCTCCATTATCAGAATAATTTAATCCTTCTGATTACTTCTTCCCTTCTGCCCTCGTGCATTTTTGACTGCAAAAGCTTCGTAATTTCTGAGTTCTGGCTATATCAAACTGTGAAACAAAAAATAACATTACTCTATTTCGTTCATCAGGATCTGGAACAAATAAAGATTTTACATTGCAAATTGTTACTTGACATAAGTAAAATTTCTCAAATGTCCTCAGTGAAGTGAATTGGGTCTTCTGTCACCCTACAAGTTGGGTGAGATGTCATATTCCTGTATAACAGATTCTAAAAATGTTTAGTTTCTAAAGAAAATAGGAAAAGGGAATAATCTATTTCTGGACAAACACACAGAATAGAAAGTTATTCCATACATACAATATTCTTTCTTTTCCAAAGAATATTCCTTCTTTCCAGTCCAGGAACAATTTTACAAAGAATCAATCACTGTACTCATCTGTATTTCCTCTTAAACTACCCAAGCTATTATCAGTTCTGCATTAACTGTTTCATGATCTGCTTTAACATACAGATATGTATGTGCTGAAGAAAGAAAGGTATATATTGGTATATATTTAAAATACTATCTGCAAACGAAAGAACAAAGATAAGAAATTCTGCAAATTTTTTATGTCCTTGCTTGTCTTTATTTTGAAATCATCTTTAGCTCCTGCTGAATAGTGATTCATTTCTAAAGGCAAAAGATCATTTAGCTTTGTGTTCTTTATTAAGGCTTCATTATTTTTACAAAAATAGAATACAGCATTAGTCTTTATTAGTTTTTAGTTTAACATACAGTTCATATATTTTGAAAGGAGTATTTTGGGATACAATATATTCAGTTTATTGTTCGTGGTTCATTTAATTGTTAGTTTATAGCAGGTCTTCTGGGCACCACACAAATTATCGACCTTCTGCTATTATAAATTAAAAACCACAGAGATGTCAGAACATATTTTCTAGAAAAGTTAATTTAGGTATAAACCATCATGTTGTAGCAAACAAGGTCAAGAGTCCCTTTAAGAAGGAGACTATTTCATTGCCTCCCAGTTTAGATTCTCCATATACACGGTCCACAAATGAAATAGGAACCTGTTGAAACAAGCAAAACTATTTTTAAGTTTCAAAACCTAAATAACCAGATATGCTGTAAACAAAAGAATAGCTTTTGAACTACAGCAGGTTTAGACATGGGAAGAAGGCAAGCACCAGATTATCTTACTTTGTGTCAGTTCTTACCAGTGGCTTTAATGATGCCCCATAGCTGGGGAGCATGAAATTATTTGGTTTATCACCTTTAAAGATGATCCAAAGACATTACTCAGTGGCTGGATGATCCACCAGTCAGAACAAACTTAATAGCTTAAGTGCACTAAAAGCCTGGGGGCTTAAAATGAACCTTCACCACTTTCCTTGTTAGTTAAATTCAATACCTTTGAGCCAATGCCTCAGGAAGAAAAAAATCTCCAGCCACCATGAAACAACATTCTCTGACCTCACCACTGGATAGAAGATGACATCCGAATATGGCAGTTAGTGCATATTTTACAAGCAATACCAGTCTTTGTCTTCAACCATTTTATAGATTATTTACAGGATTAAAGGGCATTTAAAACACTACTTTTGTTTTCCTTACTTAAGGCATAATACTGTCCAGATCAACTCACTACTTATAAAATGGTAGGAATGTACTGCTTTTCAGTAATTTGATCGCATACAATTGACATATGACAGGACATTCTGCCAACACTGTATTAGAATATTCAAGAATTTCCATATATGTTTATGTGTAAAATTGAAATACTTCAGGAGCTAAACTAAAGAATTGCATTTGCAAAAGTCATTAAAAAATTGGCTCAGTGTTCTGCTGGCAGTTTAACCAGAAATCATCTGGCAAGTGGAATGCAAAAATCACCACACCCTTGCATCTGTGCCAGGACTGAGGATTTCTCACAGTTCTAGCAGATCAGTCCACAGGAGAAGACAACCAAGGGCAAGAAGATGGTAAGGAAGATACCTACAAGTGCACAAAGATAGACTCAACAATGACCCTGACTTTCTACTAGGGTCCCTTTGATGATCCCAGTGAGTATCCTGGCAACTCCAGACAGCTATCTATGGGCATGGACAGAAATCACCGAGTACATCAGCAGTGCAGGATGTCAGAATTGATGTTCCCAGACCAGTGAAGAAAGAATGGTTGTGATGAAAGAATCTCATCTAATAAAAAGGTATCCAGTCTTTCCTTTCAGTATAAGAATTAACCACTTGTGTTGTTGCTGTACTTTGCCTTTCTTGCATAATTAGTTCTATCATTAGTCTTAAAAGGAATGAAAAAGGGGCGCATCCAAGACTATTCAGGTATAGCTTTTATTAGTTTATCTCATCATTCATTTGTTCCTTTTAGACCAGCAGGTCTCAATCTTCATTTTCAACTTTGCTTAAGAAGTATTTTACCTTCACAACGGAATCTACATTTTACAACTCCATAAAACATCTTATTCTGCCTGTAGAGTCACAGCACTCACAAACCAGGAATTAGACATGCAACTGTCACCTCTTCTGGAATTTTGGTATTACTATTTGGATAATTATGAAGTATATAAAGATCATAAGTATTGATCAGGAAATACTGTATTAATGTACTTGAAATGTAATGGAAAATTGTCCTGCCCCAAGAAATTACAATATAGAGATGATACACAGAACAGTAAAAATACAATAGTCTTATTTACAGGTCTAAGTCAGCAATCTGAACACTGTCAAGTTTGTTGCAGAGATCACAAGGGAAATCTTAAAGACAAGGCTGAAGCAGAATAATTAAAGATTTTTTCAGATGTTAGAGAGCACTTCCCACATGTGATAAACCACAGGAGAAGGGAAGATGATGTTTACTTCAGCATGTAACAGATGAGCTGTGGAGGGAGGCCTAACTGACCCAGCACAAACCAGAGCCTGTGTCTCAGCACTGACTGGGAGACATCAGTGAAGTCTGTCTGTCAGGCTTTGAACCGGAAGACAAATGTCTTTTCTCTGATGGCATACAACCAGTAGAGGCACGTAAATACATGGGTGGTGAGATCAAACAATAGACAGAAAAAGGGTCTTTGCAGCAGCAGCCGCCACCTGAAGAGGTTTAAGCAAAATTGCATTTTTTCAGGCCAGAGAAGTATATTTCACTGTTCTAAAACATCTAGTAAGTAAAACCTCATCTCACCTGGATGCATAGACAGGTGAGGATTTACTTCAGCAATATTAGAAAGCAACATGTGAATGCAGCTGGATGTGAAGACCAAGAAATTAGGAAAAAACCCCAGCTCCAGCCAGGATAGCGATGTTGCTCCATAAGCATGAAAGGGGAAAGGAAAGAGCTTGCTTTATTGTGTGGAAATGCTCTACCCAATGTTGACAGAGAAATGCAATACGCAAGATTTAGAGAGAGAAGTACCAGCAACAGAATTCTCTGACAATTCAGTCATGAAAATGATGATGAAGAACTTGTCTCTGCAGCCAAATCTCAGAACCATTTCAGTGAATCATCTTTAAAGACACCAAGAAGAGCAATTCAATGAAATATAAAAGGCAGCAATCAGACTGCTGGAAATATAGGATCTAACAATTGTTTGGAGTTCTTTTTCAATGATTGTAGACAGGGAAAGTTGTGATAGCTGGAAAGTTGGGAAATAATATGGCAAAAAATGAGAGAGAACAGAATAAATCTGAAATAGAATCAGGTTGCTGGAGAAAACAAAACGATTTGAAGAGACCTAACTAGAGATGCCTGTACAGTATGAAGGAGCAAAGAAAAGGCTCAGAGCAGCTTCATGGTATATTTTGACTTCTTTCCCTCGTTTGAAGAAGCTTGTGAAATTGTATGGTGCTAAAGAAATGGCAACAGGAAGAGGGAAAGATCTGAGAACCGTATCAGCCAGGGGAGTAAATAACTGGAATTTCAGATCTGGTGCTCATCTGAAAAAGCTGGAAAAACACAAGTTCTACATATGTAATTTCTTTGTATCGATTTGAAAATCTTGTGTCTTCTTGGAAGCGCACAAGATTTCCTATGGTGCCAATAATCTCTATCAACATTTAAATGCAAGCATAATACACTTATCAACTTATCAAAACTTTTACTGTACCTCTCCAATAGTATATCCTAACTGTCGAGCCCGAACAATCATCTCCATCTGGAAAACGTATCCTTTAGAAACACATTTTTCCATCAGTTTCTGTAAGACTTCTTTTCTGTATAACCTGTAAATGATTACGAAGAAAATGAAACCTGAAGTACAATTTGTGAACTTTGGAAATCATGACAGTGCATCTGAATCTTAACTGTAATCACTCATTACTATTTATATAGTAATTTATAGATCATTACTATTTATAAAAATCTTTTTTAAAAAGTCATAGGAGCAACAGTTCTTGCAATCAAGTCTACTATTTCTTACACCCTTTCCAAAAAAATTTCATGGTCCTCTGTAAAGAAGGTCTGTTCTTAATCCAGTTCCTTGTTCAGCAGTTTCTTAATTCCAAATAAACTTTATGAATTGCAAACCAGACCCATACCTGAAACTCCCTGTTAAGTCTGATGCACCTGGTCTCAGCAAAACCTGAGTTATGAAATTGGCACCACGACTGTGAAAGAAAATATGAAATGTCAAAATTGCTCAGCATACAATTCTGCAGATCAAGCAGAATTTCTAGAAAATGAGTAAATATCATCCTACTAGCAAAAAGAAAAGAACCATTTTATTGCTTAATATGAAAAAAATTACATTTCTAAGATGCTTTCACTGCTAGATTTGACTAATAAATCACAGAATCTTGAAATAAAACCCCAACATTTTGTTTTTCATTATTGAACTTATCCATCAAGGAGAAAACAATGATTTTGAGACTTACAATCTGGTTCTTTTTGGTAAATCTGTCAGTACAACTACATACTAATACAGTACAAAAGAAATATATTTAACAACAGTCAAACATTTTTCATCTAACATTCACTGTTAAGTGCAGAATAAAAATGCTTTCTGTACAAATGTGAGACTTGGATTAAAAAAAAAAAAATCAAGGTTCAGTTTTGGTTTAACATTGCTTTCATAGTATGATAAGGAGAAGCCCCACTGATGAAGAACATTGCGAGACTGAAGAGCGAGTCATGACTATCTTGCTGAGGGCTGTATCACACACTGATAAGATGTGCAAGTCCTTCACCTTGACCAGGATGGTGTAAAAGGATTCCTCTGCAATGTCCATTTAGTTCTCTTCCTTTTTTGGGGTGTATATTTCACTTACTTCACAAAAAAGACGAGCATTTATTCCAGCCATTAAAAAGAGGAGAAATCCAAATATTGTCCCTGTGATACCAATTCCAGATCAGACTGGTAACACAACTTCTGCTCCTACTGCTTTCCAGTAACATATAAATCAACATTAACTTATGCCTATTCTCTTAAATCAGGCATAAGAGAGGAAGACTATGCAGAAACTTGTCAATTACTTCCTCAAAATCTGTATGTCCCCATAAACCTGAGATGCCAGCCCCGTATACTACCTTGACAGTGTTTTCCTCTTTGCTTTTGGGTGAAGCCTCTGCCTGGTGTTCACTGGAACTCTTTTCCAGTAACGTCTAAGTAATGATTTATTAACATTGATCGTGCCAGAGAATTCTTATGACAAATCAGCGTGTCAGAGGGATTCAGCAAGTGATTTACTGTTTAGGGAAAGGGCGATCACAGCTATTAAAGCTAACTAAATGTGTCTTTTAAACTTGACAGAAGTGTCATAATCTCAGCTCATCCTTTGGATGATGAAGCTGAAAGACTGTGCTGATGCCATGCAGATTTCTCCACTGTTCCAACCCATTTCTCAAGCCCAGTCAAATTATTACTTTTTTTCTTGGTGAGTTTTAATGGAAGAATTGGCAAATAATCCATGCTTCTATTATTTAATGTAATTTTGCAGTACCCAGTACTATTGACCAAAGACTCAGTTCAGCTCACACAGACTGAGTTGAGTACTTGGAATTATTATTTCTAAATAACGAGTTTATGTGTAAACATCTAGAGAAATACCCACCTGATTAATTTTCGTTTCAAATCCCAGCCATATACTCCTCCATTTCCTTTATATCTTGTTCCAGATACAATATCAAAATTGCCTTCTTTCTGCTTTCTATAAGCAATTGGTTTTATCAGAAAAACAGGAGGAACATTTGTATGAAGGTATTAAAAATTGCAAAATAAGAATAATCACTTTTAGTACACAATCTGTATTTTACAAACCTTTGAACAAATGAGTAGAGACGACAGGAAAGCAGTGGTTATGGTGGTTATAAACATTATGCATTTAAAAACCTGTTAATTTTGCTCTTATAAAGAGCTATTTTAGGGAATCTTATGATTGATTATCTTTTACCAACTGTGTCACAGAATTTCACAGACTACTTCATAAATAATTTATTAAGACCGACTTACGCATTTTTAAAGCCTCTCTCTAGTATAACAGACAGAATGATTTTAAAATACAGATTTAAGTATTTAAATTATACAAACCCATAGTAAGGAGGGAAAAAAAAAAAAAAAGCCTGGAACCTGGAACTATCCTTAGTCCACACTATGCCTGACTGCCGCAGAACCTTATCTAAAATGTCAGGCCTCCAGTACTACCTTGCAAGAAAGCTGAAAATTACAGAGGCTGCTGCCCTCAGCCTCTGATGTAACGTCTGTCAGCCATTTCTCACAAACTGAAATGTTACAGGGAGAGGAAGGTAAAAGGCAGACAAAAGTATTTCACAGTAATTGAGGACACGGCCCTCCAATCAATGTCCCTATATGCACACATGATAAAACCATCAGAAGATGACATTTATATATCTCTCTAGATATGCACTTTTCAAAGCTGAACAACCATTATAAGAGGAAAAGCACTTTGCCACACATTTGGAGATTTTTGCTCTAGTTAAGAAGTAATTCTTTCTCTGGATTTTTGGGGACAAATCTAATGAGGCCCAATCACTTTTATTTGAATTCTTGCTTTGCCAATTTTCTTATTACAGCTAGACAGCTGTACAAGAATATAAAGCTTTCAAATATTATAACAAAAGAATAAAAGCTCAGAAGTCATTCTCTCATACTACAATAGTCACCTACCTGATAAACTCAGGAATAAATTTTGGCTGAAATGAAAGGAAAACAGATCAGAAAAGAAAAAGGGGTGGCAGTAAAAAAAAAAAAAATTCAATGAAAATTTAATTTTAACATTAAAAACACAGTACATAAAATACAGACTTACATGGTGAGACAGGTCAGCATCCATAATAACAATGAAATTCCCAGTGGCGTGCTTCATTCCATGAATATAAGCAGTGCCTGATGAAAACAGCACAGAAATACTTTCCCTCACTGTTTTAACATATGCAATCTTCTAGCCAGTCTTCACTTATTTTCTAAAAATCTCTAAGTTATACTAGAAAAGGATCAACTAAAACATCCTAAAATTTATTTTTAAATGTATCACAATGGTCAAACGTTAAAATTACTTTTTCTTTTCCCTGCAATTTCAGCACTAGATTTTATACATAGAAACCTCGGCAAACCCCACTGCACTACAAATGCCCAGAGAAACATGACTTCATAAGTGGGACACTATTTGAAATAACATTTCCAGAAGTGCCATAGGCACTTATGAGCCATAGCAAACTGGAAATAGGACACAGGCAACAAAACAATCACTGAGAGTTAAAAAAACCCCTTGCTTTCTGGACTCAGGATTTACTATTAGTAGTGTATAGATTTTAGGTTGTTCTCCTTGATACCATGGATTACACTCCAATATCTATCTGAATAGTAGGATTTTTCTTTTTCTTTAGATTTTGTTGCCTTTTATTTATCCTATAAGAACTGGTGTAGCTATCCTGGCAAGAACTGGAACAGGCATTGCTATTACAGTTTTCCTCAACAATGCAAATTTGTGATCCGAGCTGTACCGTTCAGAGACAGCACTGCTTTGAAGGACAGTGCAGCAGCACAGCAGGGATTAACAACTGGCATATACTCTTCACTGATTCAAATTACTCTTAAATCTTTCTGTTGACTTCATAAAGAATAGATAAAACTGAAACCAAAACACTCTTAACTGATGTCCTTATCGGGCACTCTCAAAGAAAACTAAACTCCTGGTTAATGAACAACCCTCCTTTCCTTCCTTTTCCATGTCATTTGCAAAGTTATGCAGTAGGAGTGTCACAGATTTGTGTACTGTGCAGGATTAGTAGATATAGTATGTGAAAAATTTAAGTTCAGTCAGTTTTAATCTGTAATACTGGTCAAGTTAGGACAAAGGATGAAAAGGCAGAAAACAAAGATATGTAGGCTTTTGAGTTTCTTAAATAAGTGAGATGTAAAAAAACTAGAGAAAGGTGATTTAAATAGACAATTCAGTATCAAAATTTTTGTTCAGCAGACTGGAGAAATTAGTTAGCTGCAGTGCTCCATACACAAGACACATCAAAACATACAGCACATGGAAGCAGGGGTTTCCAAGATATTTAGCCAGAAAGGCAGATACTAATTAACAATAAATCATTTATCATTTTGTGCGTTCCTGTTATGAGAGGAGGGATAAGGGTGTAACATGAATCTTAACAGATGGAAATCTCTCCACTTTAGTTTAGGATAGTTTCCATACTATGAGTTTTAATGTCATTTACGACTTCCTCCGGTATCTGCTTTTTTCTAAAGCAGCGTGTTTTTAAGCTTGTTCACTTACAAAAAACTTGATGAAAACATATATTTCTGCTTCTGAGCTTTACTGTGATTTTTCCTGAAACTTTATATACTAGAATCAATCAAAGAATACAGCAGATTAGTTTTAATTTTTTTTTTTTTTTTTAGTACTAACCAGAATTAATAAGGACTTACCGAGGCCCAACTTTCTTGGTCTGGGTCTTAGAAGCTGTGGGATATATTAGAACAAAATAAATACATGTATTACTTGAAGTACAGTTTTTAACTAATTTTAGTGACACCTTAATATTTGCTATTTTCAAGGTATAGAAATATTTTTAATGTACTTTTCATTTTTAGAAATCTAGATAATACATAAAAAAAATTGTCTGTCAGAATACATCAGAAACAAACCATTATATTAAATAGATATTTGATCAGGTCATATTTAAAACCAACCCTCTTTTAAGCCTTACTTAATATCAAAGAAAAAAAGGGGAAAAAAGACTCTAAAACTTCCTATATGTTGTTCTTAAAGTAATCTCTATAAATGGTACAAATACTTATTAAAACCTTACACAGTAACAGATTAGGAAAGTGTCTGACACTGTTTACAGCACAACACTGTCAAACTCAGCGTGGGGTTTTTACAGTGTTCTATGATAAAGCTTTTATTGCAAAAAACCCCCTGACTTTTAACGGCTCATAAAGACTAAATAAACAACACTATCTCATATACAACTGACGGTTATATGGTAATATAGTAAAAAGGGAAAAAAACCTAATCCTGTTATTGAGGAATGCAACCAGACAGATTAAAAATAAATCACAAGGCCAGACGCGCTTTTATCTTTCCAATTTCCCTATTCCTCCAGTCACTTAAAATGAAATTAAAGTTTATCCAAACCTCATCTCTCCCTCAGGCATGCACAAAGGGCACTAACAACCACTATTCATTACTCAATAGCACACAGCAACGCACTAAGTATTGAAAACATTTTGCAAACAGTAATTCATGTTTCTCCACATTAGCTCAGAATGCCTCTAGGCACCTCCATGACTATCAGAATTTTACAATTTTCTAAAGCGGTGTGCAAAAACTTCCATAACTTGTTTAAGGATGTAAAGAAAGGGCAGAACCCAGGGACTCTGTTCCAGTTCTCTAAGGACTTCAAGTACTTTTCAAGACAATAGAGATTAAAAAAAAAAAGAAAAGGAGAGAATATACAACTCACTATTTTATCTGACCCATATATCTTTTCCAACTGTTTAGCAATTTCCTGTGTTCCATCCGGGCTTCCATCATCTATGATGATAATTTCAAAGTTGTTCCCACTGAAACGAGAATTGTTTTTAAATGAACAAACAGAAAACCCAGTTTCACTTCCTATGTCATTTTGAAAGGCATGAAACTGAAGAATAGACCACAAAGGGATTTTCAGACAGAGACACATAGCGTATTCTTATAGCCGTAAGAGTATGCTTGTGGTGATAAAATGTGACTCGGTGTCCCCGTCTGAGGCCCGAAGCTGGTGTCACTCCCAGCACACCCCAGTGGCACAAACCTCATCGTCACCCCAGCGCCGCCGCAGCGCCCCGTTCTCGCCTCGGGACTGGGAGAGATGCAAAGCTAAAATTGCCTGTCCACATTCACCTGGCAACACCGCTTTCCCCGGCGGCTGCTGCAGAACAGGTCAGAGCACAGGCAAGACCTCTGATCAGAGTCATTTAGTTTCCCTAATTAACCTCGGGGCAGAGCTGCGCTCCTCACTGTGAGTTGGGTACACCCGGCTGCGGGCCATCCGGCACTAGTGACAAGGGCTGGACGTTTCACAGCCTGGAGATGGTTATTGCCTTCCTCAGCTGGGACGTCTTTTTGCAAATTTTAGGGACAGCCCTGGAACCGGCTGCCCAGGGAGGGTGTGGAGTCCCCTCCTCTGGAGATCTTCAAGACCCGCCTTGATGCAGTCCTGGGTGATGTGCTCTGGGCATCCCTGCTTTAGCAGGGGGCTTGGACTACACGATCTCTAGAAGGTCCCTCCCAACTCTGACGATTCCGTGCATTTCCCGGCTCTTCTGAGCTTCTCGGCTCCACCAACACCTGGCACCGGGCGCCCCTCCGCCAGTCCCCGGCACCGCCCGTCCACCGCCTCTTCCCTGCGGCTCCGGAGGCGGCCTCCTCTCACGGACGGGCCGCCGGTTGGCTCCCTCCCTCCCTCCCGCAGAGGGGCAGCCGGCTCGGACGGAGGGCCGGAGCTCAGCCCCAGCCCGTTGAGAGATCCTAGGGCCCGGTAACCCCTTACCGGGGCCCGGCAACCCGTCACCGGGGCCCAGCAACCCCCACCTCCCCGGGGCCTGGCACCCCAGGGCCCGCCACAGCCGGTACCTCTGTTGGAAGGTGCGCACCAGGAGCCAGACGACAAGGGGCAGGTTCTCCCGCTCGTTGTAGGTGGGCAGCAGCACCGAAAACTTGTCAGCGCTGCCTGCCGCCATGTCGGCGCGCTGACGGAGCCGGAGCCGGAACCGGCGGGGGGGGCGGGGGGAGGGAGGTAGGACGCGCCGCAGCCAATCAGGACGGGAGGCGCGGCCGGAAGTGGCGGAGCGCTGGGGGCAGCCGGGCGGAAGCGGAAGTGCTCTCTCTTCCCTCAGGCATGGCGGGTGTCGCGGAGGCGGCGCGGTTGAGCGCTGAGATCGCTCAGCGGGAGCAGGAGCTGCGTGGGTTACGCGAGCGGCTGGCTGCCGTCCTGGCCGGGGGTGCCTCGGAGGACGCGGCGGCTGCAGAGGAGGCTGCCTCTGACTTCCCCGACCGGCTGCCTGCTCTGCCCGTCCAGGCCTCGCTGAGCCCTGCCGCCATCCTGCGGTACAGCCGGCAGCTGGTGCTGCCCGAGCTGGGCGTGCGGGGACAGCTGCTGCTGGCCCGCTCCTCCGTGCTGGTGGTGGGCTGCGGCGGCCTGGGCTGCCCCCTGGCTCAGTACTTGGCCGCGGCTGGCGTAGGCCGCCTGGGTCTGGTGGATCACGACGTGGTGGAGACGAGCAACCTGCACCGGCAGGTTCTGCACGGGGAGGCCCGCCGAGGGCTCCCCAAAGCCATATCTGCCGCGGCCGCCCTGCGGCTGCTGAACTCCACCGTCCAGTACGTGCCCTACTGTGGTGCCCTGAGCCCTCGCACCGCCCTGGAGCTGGTGCGGCAGTACGACATCGTTGCCGACTGCTCGGACAATGTCCCCACCAGGTACTTGGTGAACGATGCCTGCGTCCTGGCCGGGAAACCCCTGGTGTCTGGCAGTGCCCTCCGGATGGAGGGGCAGCTGGTTGTGTACAATTACCAGGGGGGACCCTGCTACAGGTGTCTCTTCCCCAAGCCCCCTCCACCAGAGACGGTGACTAACTGTGCAGATGGGGGAGTGCTGGGTGTCGTGCCAGGCATCATGGGGTGCATCCAGGCCTTGGAAGTGCTGAAGATTGCTTCGGGAATGGGTTCTTCATTCAATCAGTTCATGCTGATGTTTGATGCCCATGAAGGGAGATTTCGCAACATCAAGTTAAGACCAAAGAAACCAGACTGTGCTGTTTGTGGTGACAATCCAACTGTCACCTGCCTGCAGGATTATGAGGCATTTTGTGGTTCTTCTGCAACGGACAAGTGTAGGACTTTACATCTGCTGTCCAGTAAAGACAGAGTATCTGTAGAGGAGTACAAAAAACTGTTGGATGAGCAAGTTCCTCATATATTGTTAGATGTTCGTCCACAGGTAGAAGTGGATATCTGTCACCTGGCACATTCTGTCCACATTCCTTTGAGTAAATTAGAAGAAAAGGATGAAGAGTGTCTGGAATATTTAGAAAAAAGAATTTGTGAAGAAAAGCATAGAACTAATGGCCAGGCATCTTTTCCTGTATATGTTGTTTGCAAATTGGGAAATGACTCTCAGAAGGCTGTAAGAATTCTGCAGGAGTTACCTGTCAAAAAATTGGGTTCTGTGTTAGCTAAGGATATTAAAGGGGGGCTCATGGCTTGGGCCAGTAAAATTGACCCAACGTTTCCTCAGTATTAGAAATTTAAATGGTGAAAAAAAGTACAGATTTTCATAGGGTTTCATTTTCTCTGTGTAATGTCTATATCATGTGGATGAAACAGGAGATAGAAATGCCATCGTGTTTTTTTTTAAATGGTAATTTTTTTAAAAAAATATTTTTGTATATATCTGATTTATTATTTTTTTTATAAAAATGTGAAACTGTCCTTGGAAATGGAAAGAAATGTGTTTCTTGTTATTACTCAATAGTGAAAACTTGGAATAACTATTTAATTGTGCATGTGATAATTGAGAATGACTCCCAATTAGTAATTATACCCTGGAGAATGACAAAGAACAGGAGTCAAGCATTGAAAGTTTTTACTCATTTTCCTAACTGCCTAACAAATTGAAACAGTGCATGCAGTAATTAAAAAAAATATAACTAACTGCTAATCTCTAGCTGGTCAGTAGCACTACTCAGCCTATCATAGGACTTGCCAAGACAATGCTGACAAGACTGTTTTGCTCAACAACTTTTAATTCCCTGTAGAAGCATTGTGTATTTATGAAAGAGAACTGCTTGCTGCAAATAACAACACCTGCATAAGTGTGTTCTGTTAAGAACTTCCAGGACCATCCATCCTCGCTTGTTGTCTGGCAAAAAAGTGTATTCTCTGACTTGTGTAGAGGTGTAACTGGGGTTAAATGTTACTAAGACATACATTTGAGCCCAGAAAGTTTGTAAATGCTTAGACTTCGGAGACTTCAGGGGCGAGAGAGGAATAAAATAGATGTGTGCCCCCTCTTCTGCGAGTACAAAGACATATTTCATAAGTTTTCTCATGTTTGTTGTGATAGTTGCATGTCCCTGCATTATTTTGTTAACTGACATGAAGAGCTACGTGTATCTGAAAAGTTCACACAGATGAATTGAATGAAAAGAAAGAGAAATAAATAGCATCTTAACAGAGAGCTGCCTGAGTCCTCATCACTTAAGCATAGTAATTATCTTCTTATAATTAATTAAGGTATGGATTTCCTTGATTTTCTAAGGAGAAAAAGAACACCTGTCATGACTAATCTTCGCGTTATACAAGGGCAAAAAAAAAAGAATAGTATTATTAGTAGTAGTCGAAAAGGCATATTTTAGTAAAATAAATGTGAGAACATCCATACCGCCTACTTTATTATAACACACCTTGGGTTTAGCAATAATCATCTCGTGAATGGAATAGTTAACATGAATTTGTAAATACAAGGTCGTATCTCTTGCCATTTAGAAGACAATGAATACATAGAAGACCACGATTTAAAAGTAAACGTTAGTGCTTTGTGGTGTGTAGTGGGAGTTGTCAGTCACTATGTTTTAAGGTGGGTTGTGGAGGCTTGGTTCAGTCAAAACACCTGGCTTCTGGTGGGTTTCAGCTTTTGGGAATTGGAAACTAGAGGGATTTGTTTGAAATGCCTGACCTACTTTTTCTTTCTTTACTGTGATGTCAAGAAGAGACTGAAGCATAAAAGGGAACAGTAGGAATAATTCTCTAATGTCCAGTCTTCCAATGCTAAACAATGGATGGTATGTCACAGCCACCAGACCTGAAAAAGTGATACTTTTTCAGTCATTTATAGAAAGGTGAACTTACAGACTTTACATGATGCTCTCCCTAGGAGGGGAAAGACTTAGTGATTCTAAATGAGTGCTACTTCCAGTGGATAGACATCGTGTATAAAGTCTTTGCCCTTTTTACATCATTTTAGCAGCAGATGCACACAAGCTCTGTGAAAAAAAAAAAAAAAGAAAAAGGATGACATTAAAGCCTGTGGTGTTTGGTGGAGGATTTCTTGTAGCAAATTTTCAAGCAGGAAACCAGACTGTCAGTCTTTGTGCTGTACAGAGAACAGTTAACGCCTCAAGGCTCTTGAGAACTCTGTGGAAAAATCATCATAAGGATGAATGATAACAGAACTGGCAAAAAAATGCAAATGCATCAAGTCAGGCTGGTGAGAGACAAACTTTCAAGTATCTTTTCTATTAAAATGGATTTTTGGAATGACCATTCTTGTCAGTCTGTAGGGACTAAGGTCCAAAGTTCTTGTAGGAGTACAGCGTCTGAAATGCATCTTTTATTTTTGCGTAAAGAGAATTCTGTGCAAAACTAATTGGGCCATGCAATATAGAGATAGTTGTTCTGGAAGGAATTGGTGGATCAGTTCTGATCTCAGGGGATTATACAAAACATAGGTTTCTTGTGGGGGGAGAAGTGTTCTCTTCCTTGACTTCGGATAGCAGTGAAATTCTCAGCAAATATGAAAACATCTGCCATGTATCTTAGGTAAAGATGGGGTCTGTGGTGCTTGTCAAAATTTCATTCTTTACATGCTGTTTTTGGGTTTTGTTTTTAAAAACTTCAATTTCTTTTTCTTCCCTTGTGGGCTTGCTGAAGTGATACACGAGTCTTTCTGTAAATAAAATCCTGAGGCAGTGCTGGGCTCTTTGGAGATAGGCTGAAAAATCACGGGTCATTCCCGAGATCATAACAAAGCCAAGCCAGTTGTTATTATTGGAAACTTATCTTTTGTTTTGACTTTCTTTATTGCTGGAATATAAAACCTGTAGCGGTTTCTGTGTTCACCAGGAAGTATAGTAGCAGAACTCTGCTTAGAAATTCAAGGAGAAGCAATAAAACTGTATCATTCTGTATCGCTGCCAAAGTACTGTCTACATATTGGTACATGTTGACATTGTGAATGAAGACAAGCTGCTTTATTCAAGGAGCTCGTAGTGTAGTTGGTCTAAGTTGTGTTATCGGAAAGGATAAGGTCAGTTCAGCAGAATGTATTTTTCTCTTCATCCTTTGCTCTCGGTGTCATGAGGTTGCTTTTTGCTTGTTTGGTTATATTCTCTTTTAAAATGGCTTACTAGAATTTGGCACAGGAAACAGCTTCCTGTTAGAGGTTTAGGGTAATAGAAAGTGGCTGCAGCATTTTCTCTGAATTGCGGCATTTTAATGTTTCCCACATGTAGGTCTCTAGGGTAGCTTCACAGTTCAGGGACAAAGTATCTAAACTTGTTTTGTCCTTGGATATTGTTATTATTTTGAGACAAGGCAAATCAGGCTGGTCTAGCTTTCAGACATATCTGAAAGGTGTCTGCATACAAGATACTAATGTGTGTGCCTTGATGAGCTAAAATCCTGCTTGTTTTGGTGGCAGGAGTCTCTTTTATCTCAAAACTGCAGTAAATTAGCACTGACCTGCTATCAAAGTGCATGATTAAAAAAAAATAATCCCCCAACAATTAATGGAACCATTTGTAGGCAAATGTGTAAGCGATATGTTCAAAGCTAGTTATCAAAGTTCATATACCAGAATTTTAGGTATGTGAGTGTCTTTATTATTATCTTATTGGTAAGTAAAGTTTCTAATGAAAATGTAACTGTTCAAGACAAAACTGTGCTTAAAACTATATGTTTAAAATACTGCTAGCACAAGTCTGTCTTTTTATAAATATGAAAGCTCTAAGCTGTCTTTTGTAAAGCTACATCAGGAAAACAAGTTTTAAGGACGTTTGCTAGGTGGCACTGCAAGTTAACAAACCAGATCATTCTCTAGGTTGTGAGATGGAATTCAACCTTAGGGAGAGCTGAGAATCGCTTTTGAAAAAAGACCAGGAAAATGGAATAAAATGGAGTAGGGCAATTGATTGGTAAATGCAATATTCCAAGAAAAAAAAAGTAATAGAAATTATCCTTCTCAGGTAAGTTGACAAGGCATTGTTTGTTTCAATGACTTAACCTGAGGGGTTCTTCACATGCTATTTCAAAATGGTTTTGCAGCCAAAATGGATAATTGTACAGAAGAGGGCTATTAGAAGCACTAGCACAAAATTAAATGTAGATCTTAAATCTACAAAGAACCACTGCTAGTATGTTCCAAATATTACTGAAAAGCATTGCATGTTTTCTTACTTGGTTATGGCAGGGGTTTTTTTGGAAAATCAAGGACACTTCTTTTTTTGTCCTTCTTGTTTTGTACAATGAAACTTAAGGCATAAAATCTAAGAAATAATAAAAAAGTCAAAGTCCTCTAAGTCAGAAAATCCCCACACGACAAATTGGGCTTCTTTGGAAAACAAGAACTGAACTTGGAGACCTGATGCATCAAAACAAGCCCAGAAATATATGTGCCCAAAGCTCAGGCCCATTCCTGTGGTAATGAAACTAGGTTGTGAACCTTAGTGTCCCACATGGTACTGCAGAAACATTTGATGCCTATTACCAGTACTTAAAAGACAAAAATAAAAAAAAATCCTGCAGGTGTGTGCAGTGCAAATGTCATGAATGAACCTTGTAACAGCAAGCTGAAGTTTTTGCAGAAACATCAGATAACAAAAGCAGCAATGGGCTCTCCTCTCTAGCTCTCTAAAAAAAAGTGGAGTTACAAAAGCGATGAAACAACGGGATGGAAATAAGCATATTCATTTGTTTAAAGCTTCTATAATTTTAAGCATCTTTTAACTCAGGATTTATTAAAATAGTTTTGAAAGTTTTTCTCTTTAGAATCTTTAGCTTCATGTGTGAGATTAAGCTTATATTCCTTTAATGCTACAATTAAACATCTGCATTATGCTGGCAGAGGAGAGTCTGTCAGACCTCTTGGTTCATGGATGTGAATCAGAAGAAGTTGTCCTGTGAAGTCATGGCACTTCCGTCAGTTTGAATGCTTGTGATTTTCATTGAAATCCGGATGCTGGTCAGAATATAGAAATGAGAAGATGGTGTATTTGTTATTTCCTGCAGTAGAATATCGCAATATCACATACGAAATGGCTAAAATCATGTCTTGGTTAATTAGATGAGTTGTTCCTAAGACTGAGTCATTCTATCGCTGGATATTAAAGAGTTGCTTATCACTGTATATTTTAGAAAAGGTTGACTCGTGACTGTTAGCATGAACTTTATTGCTGTCACTTGATTTACACGTGTCTCTGACTTACTAGCCCGGTGTTTGAAGCAGAATTAAAAAACCCGAGTGCGGGGAGCAGTGGGTACTATAGTGCTTTGATAAAATTGCTGGCTGGGTGCAGGCAGTGTGTGCAGGCCAGGGTGGTGCTTCTCAGCTGGTGGTCTATAAAATTGCAATGGCCTCTAAGACATCAGACGATGATCTTTATAGTGACTGGGGGGAAAAAGCGCACGTGTTCCAGTGCATTTGAAGAAAATGCAGCAAGATAGTTTAACACTCTTGGAAAAAAACCAACACCAAAACCTGAAACAAAAAATCCCCACCCTGCTGTTGAGATCCCCTTCATCCCAAAGCAACCGATTTCTCCAAAAGATACTGGGCGTCTCCTTTTGCCTGGATATGATTGTGTCTGTGAATTGGTAGCAAGAAGACAAAGGCTGAACTCTTTAGGAGAAAAGATTTTTTGTAGACAAAAGTTTATAAAGAGTTCCAGGTTTGGGAACTCTTTTTTTTCCAGATTGGGAAAAAAAAATACTTGCAAATTAAAGATGCTAATATTTTTGATGTCAGGTATTACTTTTAATAGAACTTTTAGAAAATTCTTTTAAAATCTAGGAAGATAACCAATACCTGTCCATAATTTATATCTTTGTAATAGGTAATTGCTAATACATTTGCTCTGATTCACTGGCTGAATTCATGCTGACCACTTTCATTGTGTCAAAAATTTAGTCCTAATAACATTCTTACTAAATCCGTGTTGTAAGACTGCTGAAGTCATTGGTTGCTGTTTTATTCTTTTTATGAGATGTTAACAAGAAGCCCCTCTGCTGGGGCCCGCTGGTGTCGCTGTGAAAGTTGCGATACACTTGGAAGGGGGAAGAGCTGTGGATCAGAATGTAACATGGTTTTGCTTTTTCTTCTGGAGTAAGAGTACATTCAGCCCCTGCTTTCCTTCCTGAATGACACTGAAAGCTCTTGCTTTTTATTCCCATGTAATCACCT